CTGCCTGTTTATTTTGACTCGATTTTCCATTCCGCAGGAAAAGTTAGATGGAAGTAATGCATTAATTGGTCTTACGGGCATTTTTTGCACAATCTAACAGTCTTCACTCAGCGGCAATCCTTTGGTTTCAGATGTAACCAATTTGCGAATTCCTTCCAACTAAATCAAAGTATCTACGACGATGTAGGAAAATTTTATGCAAAGCTGGTCTGTATTTACTGTTCAAATTGATTACGCTACTTATTTTATTTGTGAGTAGTTTAGATACTTTACAAAAAATAATTATCACTCCTTAATTCGGTTTAAGTGGCCTAAGGTGAGTAATTATATATTCAAGAGTTACTGATAGTCTCAAAATTGATTGCATACAAAGTTTGTGTTAATGCTTGATTTGCCGTGCCATTCGTTCCTTTACACTCGATTGCACCCTCTGTCGCACATCCTCGTCTCATCCACAGCTCAACAGGTTCCGAAACAAGGGTGTATTTGTGGAGAAGCAAATACGTAGGCCTCTTAGTCACGCGAATCCGGTATCTGACTTTGAGGGCAAAGCCAAGTCCGGACAGGACAAGAAATGCCGCTTGGGATGTAATGGCAACTATCAACCATTTTACGAGTCTGTATGAGCAATCCGATACCAAAAAGACAATTGGAACTGATACACCCTTAGAACACCTAATTCATTTCTATTTGGAATATTTCCTCACCCGTAAAAAAAAAATCTCATATATATATATACTTATAAGCATATATTGAAATTACACATAAAAAATATACTAATTCATAAATTATAAAAATTATATCTTAATTTTCTCACAATTATATGAGTTGACCTTACATTTCATTACAATTTTACTTAGCCCTGCTTCCCAAAAGGTTTTCTTTTCCAGACTGAATCATAGATTCTAGCTTGCATGAATTGACCTTATCATCACCTCAATATAAATCGGACTCATGTGATGGTAGTACAGTATATCATTTCGACATTTTACCACTAGGCTACATTGTCACGAGTTTCCGTGGTTCAGAGCATGAATGTAAACTTCAAGGATGGCCAGGCCTCCCCCATTACACATATTTTATACTGTTTTTCTTTCAATCCAATAGACTAACTACTTATTTTCATATGAAGTAGGTTTGCGAAACTATCAGCAAATCTTGGATAAGAGTTGAGTATGCCGATTGAAAACGAGGCCAAGTGAACTTTAATGGAAACATGAGGTTGACATATCTCGCCTTATTTGAACTGGAATGACTTCAACTCTCATTCCAGACTTACAGATAGGATCGAAACCGACTTCCTATAAATATATGCTTTCTCGAATATCTATAAAAACGTGTAGTGTACTTCCAGACGAACCTTAGATGCAAACAGCACCAAATGAGAGCAAGCGAGCCAGACATAAAGATGGGCAAAAGTCATGTTACCGTGTGTGGGGAAGGAGCACCAGAGTTGACGAAGCCAGCACAATCCGTTGAACAAAAGCTCTGTCTGCGGCGGCAAGGAATAGCTCTGCTTGCCACAATCGGGCCTCGGTTGTCGACGGCAAAACGAGAAGTCTGGTCACTCCGACCAGTTGATTGGCCAGCTTCGCAATACAAGCTTCGTCGCTGTCTGCGTCTCGGGTACCTGCCTTCGGGCTGCCAGAAGTCTCCAACTGCGAACAAGGAATGGAGCGAACAAATATCTCGCCTAGACACGACCTCAAATCAGTCTCTAACTCAGGCCAGTGGTTACTAGCCAAACCGAGAGTCATGTGTATCCAAGGCTAAGGCAACCTGGCAAATTAGGACTCTTCTAGTCCAAATACCCTCTCTCGATTAGACTCTAGCCCGAGACCCACCCTTCCTGCAGCCACACATCAAAACGCACAGTTGATGCTTGTTCTGAGACCTAAGGGCCGGGTGTGCTCACAACCAGGGACTTTAGTTAAGCTCTTGTCTGCACGGGTCGTAGTACTATTTTAGCCTTAAATATATAAACTTTTCTTAATTTCGTCTAAAATATGATTTTGTAACCACAAACTTCACTTACACTAGAGTAAATTATATCTCATTTAACTAAAAATGGTCATTTGTATAGATCAATCATGCATACTACTTGCAAGTAGAAAGTGTTTTTTTATTATATGTCGGAGGCTTACTTTAATCCCTCTTCGAAATGTACAGATGGTATGTCCTAATTTTCCAAATTGACTATCAGGGTTTATTTCGTTTATTTGTATTTAAGAAATGTCGATAGTCTCAAAAACTGCTTAACTCAAGATTAATATGTTTGAAAGTATAAAGACCAAGATGGTGTGGTCTTTTTAAGGTCGCAGTCTCCTTCCATTGTATAGAATTTGTTTGACCTTGTTTTCGCAACTTGGTCATATTGGTAGGAAGACTTATAGGAAACTCACCTTGTCCTGAGTCCATTTTATGCATAATTATTTCCAAATTCGGACCGTGGACGCGGTACATTCCCAAACGTTTCGCT